GTGTGCCAGGTGGCCCAGCAGCCCCCGCCCCGTGGGAAAGCTGTGCCCTGGCCCTCCTTGTGCTGGACCCTCTCACCCTGATGTTCCCTTCAGATGAACTCCCAAAGGGATCCGGAAGCTGGTCCATGCCAGCCGCCCAGGCACCCTACCCCTCCCAGGGGCAGCCCAGGGCGGACTGCCAGGGAGGCGGGGCTTGGGGGCCAGGGGCGGGCGAGGGACCCCCAGGCCCTGCGAGCACAGCCTGGGAGGGGAGGGCTTCTCTGGAGTCTTCCTGGTGACCCCTCCTGCTCGGCCCTGGAGGACAGCCTGGGGGCCTCCACCCGGGGGCGCTCCTGTGCTGGTGGGGTGAAGGGGAGGGGTGGTGGGAGCAGAGAGACAGCCTTGGGAGTGAAGACACCCCTTCCCTGGGATGGACCCCCCTCTCCCTGCCTGCAGACCTCTGAGCTGGGGAGGTGGGCTTGGGGACAGGAAGCCAGCCGCATACTGAGAGAAATGAATGGGATCCCCCTTGGGGGAAATCACCCCATGTCTCCACTTTTCAAAGCTTTTGCCCTTATTCTTTGCCTGTTTTAGCAGCAAGAGCTAAGGTATGGCGAGCAGGGAGCAGAATCCAATCGCAGGGGCCATGGGAAGTTAAGCAAGAGGCCGAGTGTTCCAACAGCTACGGTCCTGCCGCTGCCTCCTGAGATGCTAGTGGAAGAGGACCCCCTCCCCCACACCATCCCTGGGGTCCCCGGGAGACAAAGGGCCAGGGGAACTCAACCTTCAGGAGCTCAACTCAGCCTCCGGTCTGACAGGGGGCCTCCCTGCAGAGTTGGAAAGAGACCCCCATTTCCTGCCCAAGCCCAGGAGGCTCCAGGGGGAGGGGACCGCCCACCCGTCCCACTGCCCAGGGAACCCTCTGAATGAACCGAGTAATTACAAAACCCGGCGGGGAGGCTGGGACCTCACACTCCCCAGAGGAGGAGAAAATAGAGACAAGGCAGCCCTGGGAACAGCGAGTTACAAACGTCCCCAAGGGGAGAAGGCAGACAACTCACAAATGGGAAGAGAAGGGACAAGGTGGCTTCTGCAGCCGGGGCGCCTGATGGCCAGGGGCAAGGTGCTGGCACCTGCTGCTCGTCCGTGGCCGTGGCCGGAGTTAGTGGGAAAGAGGAAGCGACAGAGCAGAAAGCCCAGGACCGGTGGGCAGGCCCCCTTCAGCAGCAGCGGCCACGGGTCACAGAGGCCCTGGGAGAGGCCCCTCCCTGCTGCACCCTCTTCCCTCACCTTCCCCAGCTTCCCACGCCCTCTCCCTCCTCCTCCCTCAGCTCCTCTCCCTGCCTCTTGCCTCACCTTCCCCAGCTTCCCATGCCCTCTCCCCCTCCTCCTCTCTCAGCCCCTCTCCCTGCTCCTCTCTCAGCCCCTCTCCCTGCTCCTCTCTCAGCCCCTCTCCCTGCTCCTCTCTCAGGCATCTGCCCACCTCTCCAGGGACCTAATTTCAGAAACTCAGTTGCTCTTCCAGCTTTAAATTTTCATCAGAAAAAAATACCCACAAAAACAAAACAGATAAATAAACTGCTGACGGTGCATTTAACTTTCTTTCAAAACCCAGAGTCCGATCCCCTCCCAGGATCCAGCAACCGGCGCCCAAGTGTCCTGGCAGCGCACCCACACCTGTGGCCTCAGCAGCTCCCCCGCGGCCGAGCCCCCTGCGGCCATGTCAGCGTCCCCCGCCCCCCTCGCCCTGCATCCCCAGCGCTGAACGGAGCAGCACCGTTTGTTTGGCTTCTTTTGCCCCAAAACAAAGGGGCTGGTGTGT